GACAATGAAACAAACACCAATAAACTTAAAAGAACTGAAATAATGCAGAATATGTTTTCCAACTGGTCCCAAACTGGAATCAAAGAAGAGTAACAAAAAGAACAGAAAATTTAACAACACATTCTAAATAACCCATGAATGAAAGAGGAAGTCTCAAAGGAAATTAAAAAAAACACATTAAACAGAATGAAAATGAAAATACAACATATCAAAATTTGCGGGGTGCAGCTAAAGTAGTTCTGAGAGGGAAATACATAATGCTACATACTTGGATTTATAAATAGAAAGGATTTAAAATAAAAAATCTACGTTTTCACTTCAAAAACAAGAAAAAAAATTAACCCAAAATAAGACAGAATTACTAAGATATAAGGAAACAGAACATTAAACATAAGAGAAAAAGATATTGTGCAAATTTTAACCAAAAAGAATTTGCATAGCTATTTTCATATAGCTATATTAATAAAGTAATGAGAAGTACATAATGAGCTGGTAAACATTACAAATAACCAAAAAGATAAGATATATGAAAATAAACCCTCACTATATGTAATTATCAAGAACACAGGTTAGGGTGCTCGGGTGGCTTGGTCGGTTAAGCATCCGACTTCGGCTCAGGTCATAATCATACAGTTCAGAGAGTTTGAGCCCCGCGTCAGGTTTCAGCTGACAGTTCAGAGTCTGGGAGCCTGTTTGATTCTGTAGCCTCCTCTCTCTCTGCCCCTCCCCTGTTCATGCTCTCTCTCTGTCTCAAAAATAAATAAACGTTAAAAAAAAAAAAAAAGTTAAAAAAAAAAAATAAATAACAAAGAAGGCCATTACATGATAAAAGAATCAATCCTTTCGATCCCTGCAAGAGACATAAAAAATAAACAAATCTATAATCAAAACGGGAGATCTTAACACAGCTGTCACTAATGAATAAAAATCAGTAATTATCAAGTATGACATATTCAGGCAATTAATAAACTTAAACTAATATATATAGAATGCAGCACCAAATAAGTACAGAATGTACATTCTGTTTAAGTGCATACATAACACTTAGAAAAATTAAGCATATGCTGCCTAATAAATAAAATCTTTAAATTTTTTTAAATAAATTACTCTCTGACCACAATGGAATTAAGGTAGGAACCAATGACAAATAAAACATCTCCTAGAAATAAGGAAATTTCTAAGTGATTAATCTAAGAAACAATGATGAGAGCTATTAGATAATATACGGAACTGAATGATAAAAAATCAATACAAATTGAAACCTGAAGAATGCAGCTAACAGCCAGATTTAAAGAGAGATTTATAAATAAATACTTTGGGAAAAAAACAAAGTATAAAAGTTAATGATTTAGATGTTAAAACGTTAGAAAAAATAACAGTAGATGAAAGTCCAAGGAATAAAGATTTAAAAAAACACTGATATCAGGGGCGCCTGGATGGCTCATCAAGTATCCAACTTTGGCTCAGGTCAAGTTGGAGCCCTGCACTGGGCTCTGTGCTGACAGCTCAGAACCTGGAGCCTGCTTTGGATTCTGTCTCCCTCTGGCTCTGCCCCTCCCCTGCTCGCTCGTTGGCTCATTCTCTCTTTCTCTCTCTCTCTCTCTCTCTCTGTCTCTGTCTCTCTCTTCCCATCTCCCTGTCTCTCTCTCTCTCTCTCTCTCTCTCCCTCTCCCGAAAATAAACATTAAAAAAAAATTTTTAATCACTGATGTTAAAAAAAAATAATAAAAGAGTATTACTAAAACTAAAAATTGGCTCTTTTTTTTTCCCCCAAAGAAATATTGCTAAATACCTGCAGGCAAGACTATGCATGAAGTAAATAAAAGCAACACAAATAACTAATATCTGGAATATGAAAAAGAGACAACACTATCAAATAAACATTAAAAGATATTCTGAACTTCATGTAAATAAATTTGAAGATTTTTTTAAAAAATTAAGATTTACATAAAATGGGAAAATTACCAAAAAATACAACTTTCAGAAACTGATAAATGGAATATCAGAACAGTACTATAGTTATTAAAGAAACTAAATCAGCAATTGAAAACTTCCTACAAAGAAACCCCAGACTCTGATGTATTCTACCATACATTTAAGAAACACCAATCATAAATATTCTCTTCCAATTAACAGAAAATAAATTTTGTGATGCCTGTATAATCTTTATACTAAAACCTGACAAGAATATTGAAGAAAGGAAAATTATTGATCGATCTCACTTAAACTTACATGCAAAAAATCCTAGGTAAAATATTAGCTAACTGAATAAAGGGATATATAAAAAGGATAATACTATACTGCAACCTACTTGAATTTAATACAAAGGTGGTATAGCATTAAAATCAATGCATTTACCAAATTAACAGCATAAAGGCCAGAAAACATATTCTCATCTTAAGAAAAAAAAGCATTTGATAGTATTTAACATTTGTTCATATTAAAAAATGAAAAACTCTAAATAGGAATAGAACTTCCTTAATCTGATATATATAAAAACTACAGTGAATGCCATACTTAATCATAATTTCAAAAAGCTAATAAATTTTGAAATTAGACAAATTATCACTACTGTTAGCACCTACTAAAGATTTAGCAAGTACAATAAGGCAAGAAAAAGAAATAAAAGATAAGAATTAGAGAGTAATGAAAGTGTTGTTATGTGCAATGACACAATTGTAGAATTACAATAAAAATACCTTAGGATTAAAAAGATTTTAGTGAAATGGCTGAATATGTATTTATCAAAGGCACTTTCAAGTGTTTAGCAAGGTGTCTGAATACCAATAAATATACAAAACCCAACTGTATTCCATAAATGAGCAATAATCATCTTACTGAGATTCATTTTCAAAAAGACCATTTATGGGGCGCCTGGGTGGCTCAGTTGGTTAAGCGGCCGACTTTGGCTCAGGTCATGATCTCGCGGTCCGTGAGTTTGAGCCCCACGTCAGGCTCTGTACTGACAGCTCAGAGCCTGGAGCCTGTTTCAGATTCTGTGTCTCCCTCTCTCTGACCCTCCCCCATTCATGCTCTGTCTCTCTCTGTCTCAAAAATGAATAAACGTTAAAAAAAAAAAAAAAAAAGACCATTTATGAGAGCATCAAAAAACTCAATACCTAGAATAAATGTAATAAGAAATGTAAAGAATACTACACAGAAACCTAAAACTCTATCAAGAGAAATTAGAGAAAGCACAATAAATGAAAGAATATTCAACACTGCTAGATTAGAAGATCCAGTGTTGTAAACAGGTCAATTTTTTCCAAAGCAATCTATAGATTCAGTATAATCTCAACCTAAATTCTTATATTTTGGGGGAGGGGAGAAACCTGAAAAGCCAATTCTAATAATTTTAATGAAAATACAGGGTAAAGAAGGATGGGGGCAAAACTAGCTTAGACTTTAGAATCAAATCAAGATGGAAGGCTTACTCTACTGAATCTTAAGATATCTTATAAAAATACCATAATTAAAGACACTGTTATATATTATCATAAAGACAGAATTAAATAGAGAATACAAAACCCCAGAAATAAACCCATACATACAATGACAATTTATCACAAAGATGGCACTAAAATACAGTAATGAAAGGACAGTCTTTCCCATAAAAGGCTCAAAGTCAAATGGAAAAGTTATGAATATAGACTCCTACGATATACAAATTTCAATTCTAGGAAGATGATAGCTCTAAATGTTACAAGTAAAAAATGAAGTTTTTAGATATAGGAAAATATATTCTTGAGCTTGGGGTAGGGAAAAATTCTTAAAAACGACACAAAAGCAATACCATAATAGAAAAGCTCAATAAATTCAATTATGTTAAAATGTTTTCTGTTCATCAAAAAACAAATTAAGAAAGTGGAAAGGCAAACAAGAGCATGGGAGAAGATGTCTGCAACATATATGCCAACAATGACTCGTATCTAAAGCACTGAAGACCTCCTAAAAAATTATATACACACAAACCCCAACACATGCCATATGACTGGGTCAAGTGGCTACATCTATATTGACAAAGGAGAATTGTATTTTTAAAGCAAAAAGGAATTAGTATACACATACTATATATACAGCTGAATTAAACTTTTAGCTAGTCTTAATTTGTTACTGAAAGAACCTCTCAAGTTTATTATCTCTCAATCGACTTTAGTTTTTATAAGCCAAAAATATTTGCGATGATATTAATTTGGTTTTACATTATTGTAAATATCACCATTTTTAAAAAATTTTTACGTAGGTGTCTTCTATGATGGAGATAATTTAAAAAAGTATAGACAACATATTGTGATGATGGCCTGATGCTGGAATCTAGATGTCTCTGTTTGCGATTCTGTATTTTAGAAAGACATTATTCCAAGAAAAATATCTGAATTCAAGCATCTATACATTTACTCATATTTTGAGTGCTTAAGCAAAAACAAGTTTTAAGTCAAATACTTAATAGACTTCTTATATTAAAAAAATTTCTATTTGGAATACAACTATTTTAGTCAGATACATTTGGTGTTCTTAATCAAAATCCTGCTTGCAAAATTTCCCCGAATGTGTAGTGAAACAAACTAGTAATTTTGTTCACAAAAAAATGTGTACAGTGTGTGGGATCCATGTAATCTGCTTACAATTAATAACTATGTACCTGTGATCAAGAGAATCTTGTGTTCACAGCTCCAGCATTAACCAGCTGTGTAATTTGGGAAAATCACATTTTATTCTCTGAATCTCAGAACTTGCATCTGTGCAACCAGTAAAAATTCCTACCTCCTAGGTTCTTTAGAGAGATTAAATAATATAACTAAAGCTCGTAACATATTGCTTGGTAAATAGGAAGTACTCGGTATATGAAAAGATTGTCCCACTACCATGAAATATAATAACTCCAAAATTGTAAAAAGTTATAAAAAAAAAAAAAAAAGGTCAGATGCTCTTAAGCAACATGTGACATATAAGCTAGCAGTAATACATGTTGAGTTCACTATTTTGTCATTAAGACTTACCTGCAAGATTGTCAAGCATGAAGTTCAGTAGCTTTCGGGTTCCATCTGGGTCCTGGTATAAATTGAGAATATCCTGTGATAAAGGATTGCCTAAATCAGAATACAAAAATAAAATCTGTAAGACTTGCAATTGTTAGGACCAGACAAATGTATGCAAAAAAACAAAATACTAATTTTCTAAAGTGAATGTTACAGTATTTAATGTTACATTAATTTTAAGAAATTATGTGAATTTAAAGAAATACTTTAAGACAGTCATAAAGAAAAATTTCAGAAAAGTTATTTCTTTCCAGATTTCACTGTTTATACTAGCTACCTACAATTTGTTTGCCAAAACCACCTATATATGTAAACATATATACTAAACTTAGTCAATTCTGAAGTACTATCACAAATCAGCACAATTAATTAACCTTTATAAGTTCTGTTTATCTTTGAAGACAATATTCTAACTGAAAGACAAATAGTCCTGTATTCATTCGAATGAATGTATTCATTCATTCATTCGAATGAATGAATCAGTCAAGGTGCATACTAAAATATTTGGGTAGTTTAGTACATATACTCAAAGTACTAGCAAAAAAATCATGGTCAATGAGTTAGGCAGTAGATTATAGCTAAAAATAAAATTGTTGAACAGAAAAAATACATTCAAAGAAACTACCCAAAATGCATCAATAAGAGAAAGATATAAAATACGAAACAGTAAAAATATGTGAGTTAGAATAAGAAATCTTGGGGTGCGTGGGTATCTCAGTCAGTTGAGTGTCCAACTTGTGATTTCCAGTCAGATCATGATCTCATGGTTTGTGAGATTGAGCCCTTCACCAGGCTGCACACTGACAGCTCAGAACCTGCTTGGGATTCTCTTCTTTCTCTCTCTCTCTCTCTGACCTTCTCCCTGGTCATGCTTGCTGCTCTCTCTCAAATTAAGTAAATAAACTTTAAAAAAATAAAAATAAAAAATCTTAACATATATTAAGTTGGAGCTCTAGAAACAGAGAATAGGACTTGGGTCTCTAGCTCAACATCTAAAGAAAGAAGCTGGAAGTTGTCACTCTGTCCCCACAGTTAAGATCATAAGGCAAACTGCTGCCCTAAACACAAACAGGCACATACAGAGAATCACAGCCTAGTGGCAGCTAAACTCCAGATAAAGAAGCCCAGAAATGGAACTAGTAATAGCTGAAACAGGTTAAATCATAATCGACAAATTGTCAGAGGCTTGGAAGACATTAACTAGAGAATTAAAAACTCAAGAAGGAACACAATCTTAGGAATATCCAACATTCTCTGAGTTTTACTTCCAGGAGACCGACCAGATTTTTAATATAAAGACTGGATAAAAATTCCCCTTATGCTTCTGGTAGGAAGAGTAATGCTCTCCTTAACAAGTCCTGCATGCAAGGCAAACTATTTTACGAGTATAATCAGGTGAAGTTTTACCATTTAATGTTAGGTAAATACCCAACACTCCAGCCCTCTCTAGCCTAATTTGGGGTGGAGAGAGCAGGAAGGAGATCTAATTCAGGCCCATTTTTAATGGGACTGAAACCTAATCATAAAACTATAGGACTCTTCCTCCCCTTCCACATCATGCAATCACATCAGTATTGTTTCTGTATAATAACAGATGATTATGGTAAACAGAACTAGAAGCTCGGAGTCCTTTGGGAAAACCCAAAGGCAACAGGAGATACAAACAAGAAAACTGGAAAAAAAATTTAGATTCTGACATACGACAGCCAACAGGAAACAAGTCCTGTTGGAAAGACAGTTTAAAGAGAAGTGAGAAGACACATTACTTAAATAGAAAAAGGCTGCAAACTTTCACAAGATAATTTTTAAAGAATGAATAAACTGACAGAAGAAGCACAACGTATAGAAAGAAGTACATGAAAGGATTTCATTTTACATTGTACGGCAAACTTGTGAAGGACAATTGTAAATAGAAAGCTTTAAAACCCTTTGGGGAAAATAACCAGCTACTTAAAAACAAAACAAAACAAACACGGTAATGGTAATAAAATTCATTAGCAAGAATGGAAGCTGGAATAGAGTGGAATAGTATCTCCCAAGACTGCAAAATGGTATTTAAGACTTCAACACTCCTCCACTAGTTATCAACAAAAAAAGTAAACAGAAAGTCAGTAGAGATGGAAATGAGAAAAACCTGTCAACCGATATGATGATATTTATATAATACTATACTCATACAGAGGAAAATACATGATCTTTTCGAGTGTACACAAACATTTACCAAGACACCATTTTCTGGGCTAGAAAACAAACTGTGACATGTTTAAAAGAAGTAAAACCAAAGCATACAGACCATAATAAAACTAGAAATCAACAACAGAGAACTAAAAAAACTCCAGGTATTTTGAAATTAGACAACACACACACACACACACACACACACACACACACACGCACAAAATGGGGCACTTGGGTGGCTCAGTTGGTTAAGCCAATTTCAGCTCAGGTCATGATCTCATGATTTGTGAGTTCAAGTCCCTCAATGGCTTTGTGTGGACAGCTCAGAGCCTGGCGCCTACTTCGGATTCTGAATCTCCCTCTCTCTGCCCTCCCCCCTGCTCGTTCTCGTTCTCTCTCTCTCAAAAATAAACATTAAAAGAATTTAAAAAAAAAAGAAATTAAACATTATACACTTCTAAGTAATCTATGGGTCAAAGAGAAAGTCACAAGGAAATTTAACTGAACTAAAATGAAAATACATCATCAAAATTTGTATGATGTACCTAAGTTAGTGTCTAGAGAGAAATTTATAGGATTAAGCTTTATTTTAGAAAATAAGATCTAAAAGCAATGACTTAACTTCCAAATTAAGAATCTAAAAAATGAGCAAATGAATGCCAAAGAAAACAGAAAGAAGGAACAACAAAGAGGAGACATCAATAAAATTTATAACAGAAAAACAAGAGACTACTACCAAATCTAAAGCATGATACTTTGAAAAAGAGGCAAAAAATTTTTGATGAACCTACATTTGATCAGAAGAAAAAAAAAAGACACAACTCACCAATATCAAGAATTAAAGATTAGGAAACAGCCCTCTTTAATGCCTTGAGGCATTAGGAGGATAAGGAATATTAAGAAAACTTTAGGTCCTTAGGTTCAACAACTTAGAAAAAAAATGACAAATTCCTTGAAAGACAGAAAATACCACCCCTCACTGAAAACAGAAATGGATAGAAAATGAAGCCAAAAATGGCAGACTAAGAACTTCCAAAAATTTGCCCCTTCGTAAGAACAAAAGGGCAGAATAGCAGTGAAGACAGTAATTTTGGGGGTTTAGATAACTTCTGGTCCCTCACTGCCAGGGCAGCTTGGCAACCACTGAAGCAACCAAAATTGAGCTCCAGCCTTTCAAAGCCTGGAATGACTAGTCATTTATCTCTGACTTCTTTGGTAGTGGTTCCTTGACTCTTGCCAAGTGCTAAAAGCCTTCAACCTGAATGAAGGGTAGTGGAGAGTGTTAAGGCATGTTTGAGGAAACCATTACTGGTAAATGCTTACTTATGCTAACTTATGGCTGCCTGAGGTCATAGAAACAGGTAAGGCAAACAACAGACTAACCTAAATGCTTAAGAAAAGCTTGGGATAAGAGCTCAATAAGGGTTCTGAAAGGCTCTGACAGGGGCACCTGGGTGGCTCAATCTGTCAAGCTTCCAACTTCGGCTCAGGTCATGTCTCACAGTTCGTATATTCAAGCTCCACATCAGACTCTGTGCTGACAGCTCAGAGCCTGGAGCCTGTTTCGGATTCTGTGTCTCCCTCTCTCTCTCTCTCTGCCCCTTCCCGGCTCACACTCTGTCTCTTGCTCAAAAATAAACAAACATTAAAAATAAAAAAAAAAGAGTTTGAAAAGCTCTGACATATTCCAGGTACTCTAGGAGACCATAACTGTGGGGGGCTCTGCATAGGCTTATGAAAGACCAAAAAATAGTGTACTTTCACCTTTTCCTGATCTTGAGGCTGTGCACAAGTAAGAAGTAAAGGCTAAGGCGGAGTGGTATACTTCTTGGCTGATTATTGAAAGCATTTCCCAAAACACACAAAGAGCCACGTGGCCAAGATTGGAAGATTCACTGGTTCCAGGAACTTTAAAAGATCTATGCCTAAGCATTAACTGAACACTAAACTGAAGAGAGATTTCAATATAATTACATGATAAAAAAATATGAAATTTACAGAATTAGTTCTGAAAGTCACTAAAGGAACAAACAACAAATAACCCTGGGAATAGGAGGTATCATAATTTCAGAGTTGCCACATTATTTAAAATGTCCCAGTTCTTAATGCAATTACAAAGGATGCAAAGAAACAAGAGTATGTCTTATAACCGGGAAGGGGGGGGGGGTGCGGAAACAATGGATAGAAACTGTCTCTGAGGATAATAAAAACTGTACCTGAGGACTATACTACAAGTCTTTCAAAACCTATTTTAATATGTTCAAAGAGCTAAAGAAAACCATATCTAAAGAAAGTATGACAATGATGTCTCAACAAAGAATATCAAAAAAGAAATCAAAATCACAAAAAGTAACCAAATAGAAAACAAAAACATCAACAAGATATATGCACCTATATGTTCACTGTAGCATTATTGCATTATTTATAATAGCTGAGATATGGAAACAAACTATCCATCTACAAATAAAAAAAATTGGTATGCGTAGGCAATGAAATATTATTTACCCATTAAAAATGAAAGTTTCCCATTTAAGACAACATGGAAGGATCTAGAGAGCATTATGCTAAGTGAAGTAAGTCAGACAAAAATAAAAATACCATATGATTTAACTTATATGTGGAATCTGAAAAAAATGAAGAACACACAAACAAAAACAGACCTTTATATACAAAGAACTGCTGGTTTCCAGAGGGGAGCTGGGTGAGTGGTAGGAAACATCAATGAAGGAGATTCAGAGGTTACACCTCTCGTTATAAAACAAGGAGATCACAGAGATGAAAAGTACACTATAGGGAATGTAGTCAATAACACTGCAATAACCTTGTATGGTGACAGAGAGTCACATTTACTGTGGTGAGTATCATGTAATGTG